ATGCTCACAACTTATCAGCTGATGTGTTAATTGCTTTGCGTACTTTGTTAATAGGATTAATTTAAATTAAAACTTTCATTCACTTAGCTTGTAAACATATACGACTTATTTTTTGTTGCTAGCAAAAAAGCTAATTTGTCTTGTGTGTGCCACATCTGGTGGTACGGAACTAAATACAACTTAAATTTTTTCGATGCATGCGAAATGCCGAGGAGTCTTGTCACGTGACATTTTGGTCCCAATTCGTCGCGAATGTTGGCATATGGCTCAAACGTGGGCTTTTTATCGTTGTTTGCGACTTTCCATCGTTCAAAAGCCGCATCTAGATAATTATGTTCTAGGGGAATCGGGATATTGTGCGTAATACCGGAACAAGAAGCTCCGATATGATGATGGTTTTCATCATTATGCTATTGCTTTTAGCTATATTGCCTATCTCCTCAGATTAACTCAGTCTACACTAAATATTACTATATATATATATATATCTTCCACTCATGATCAAATTACTATACATTGGATCCTTCAAAGTATAAATGAATTTAATAGCAGCCCTTCGTCCGTCAAGTATAACGTTCATGCAGTTGTTTTTTCAGATACTCATCCATGAGTATATGTATAGTTTATTTTGAGGCAACGAGGGGATATGTGCATGATTTATTCACCGAGGCGCGCCGGGCCGAGGTGAATATAAACACATATCCCCGAGGTGCCTCAAAATAACGTACTTATTTTTCAAATTGCGAGGTCGCGTTATAATGAGTCAGAGTAGAAATATTTCTTAATGCCACATTGCCTTCGTGATGGGTTTTTTTTCTCATTTTTTGTGCTGCAAAGACATTGCAGGTGAATATTGTAGAAGGGGATTATTAGAAGAAATTCATTAGAGGGTAATTTGAAAGTTACATTAATATATTCAAACTTCATTTGCTACGGAATGAATAGGAAAACATTGTTTTATACTAGAAACCTACAATCAGTTTCAAAAGTCTTGGGACAGATTCCACAAAACCTTTGAATTTCAACAAACGACAATCCCCCCCGCCCCCTGTTCAATGTTGTGTCCCATTTCTCGTCGGGTTTGATGTGTTTTGGTTTAAACAACATTGATTGGGGTTGGGGGAGGGGGAGCGGAGCGGTATAGAACCCGTAATATATCAATACGCGGTACCTAAACACTTTTGCTTGGTACTTAATATTCTGAAAATTATTTTCCCGCGACAATTGAAAGTTATATCAATGAAAATGCTATGTGTTTCAAAGTGACAACCGAGTGACAATCGAGCACGTGTTCAAACCGTTTTATATTACATACATATTTTTATGTCAAATATGCACAATCTTTAAGTGGTTTTCAATAACTTACCCCTGCATTTTATTCAGCAATAACCTAGGTCGATAAAAAACAGATAGATGTGTTTTATCCCTTGCAGATAGAGCAGGTTTAATCTCTCAGCATACGTCCCTCCCCACATATCACATCTGTTTATAAGCTCATTTATAATATACTGTTCAGTCTGTTGGATTATGTTACATTTCAAATGTATTGACCACAACAAGCACAGTATAAATGCATTATATATGCCAGTGCAATTCAGTAAATATGTTATACTAAATGCTATACGATTTTTGCAAAACTGATATTCTAAAACACTCGGTAATTCGAAGAGGTTAAATATGCTTTTCATTGCCTTTCATACAATCAGTTTCAAAAGTCTTGGGACAAATGCCACAAAACCTTTGAATTTCAACAAACGAGAATCCCCCCCGCCCCCTGTTCAATGTTGTGTCCCATTTCTCGTCGGGTTTGATGTGTTTTGGTTTAAACAACATTGATTGGGGTGGGGGGAGGGGGAGCGGAGCGGTATTGTGTGTAAAAAACTATAATGATCCACTTACAAACTAAAACTACATGTGTCCCAACAACTTCTGAAAGTGATTGTCTGGGCCCCATATGCCATAACGTCATTGTACATTTCAAAAGTACAGGGAATAGAATGCTCTGCGAACGAAGTATTTCAGCTCCATTTCGTTCACAGAACATCTAATGACATTATAGAACAATTAAGTTTCATTAAAATTCTCAAAGTTAATAATTAACAGAATATGAATATAATTTGTTATGTCATATTGCATTCTTAATCACAAAGGTTTTATACGTCGTTTGTTTCTACAAATTTTGGCAGAGCACTAGTAGGTTATTTGAGAGGTTATAGTCCGTCAATAAAGATAGGTATCGCAAATGTTTTACGCTAGATATGTCACACATACTGTTAATTTATAGCATAGTATTATAACATCCGGTCACTTTCGCATGCGGGTAAGGGCTGAGTCAACTGCTAATTCGGGTACTCCGAAGGTAAAGAACGTTTGATTTTTATTACCACTGGTGAATGTGACATTTCACATCTTTCTAGAGCAGAATTTGCAAATATAATTGTCGACGCATGGGTACAAAGGAGCACTCAGTGGGTGGGAATTTCGGAGGCTAATGGAAAGGGCGGTATCATATAGTATATATAGTCACTTCCACATGGCTAAAAAATTGTCCGCAAGATCAAGTTGGCGAGCTATCGGAAAGCTCGAGAAGAGTAAGTTCGGCATTTAATTGTACTCAGTCAGACAATCCCAAAAATTACTATTCAGCGTATTGGTACGTGGTAAAGAATGACCCGGACTTCGTGATTTCTCCAGGGCTTATAGACCTCCCTAATGCTGACGCGTTAGCAAGTACTAGCGCGCGCGACCCGCCGAAGCGAGAAAGTTGCACAGGCTTCCAAAAATATGTAACGAAAGGGACTCGCTGTATACGGCGTTGTACGCATTATACAACACAAAGTTATTGTTATACGCTAATTATGCTAATGCGCGTTTCCGGTCCAGACGAATGCAATGAAACTAACATCGGTTGTCACTTCGATTGTCACTATAGAAATATGAAATAATGGGCAACTAGGCAGCTTTTAAATCAGAACAAGGCTAAGAATAATTTGTTGAGAATGTCTAATAATGTATTTGCTATTAATGAAAGGGTTTGAAATTGATTAAGCCAAGTTTTGGATCGATTGACACTTTTCTACATAAATAAATCTGATATATCATAGTGATATTTCTAGAGTTGAGTGTCAATCGATACATTTTATACAATTTATACACTTTGTGATTAAGTAGAACCCGTAATATATCAATACGCGGTACCTAAACACTTTTGCTTGGTACTTAATATTCTGAAAATTATTTTCCCGCGACAATTGAAAGTTGTATCAATGAAAATGCTATGTGTTTCAAAGTGACAACCGAGTGACAATCGAGCACGTGTTCAAACCGTTTTATATTACATACATATTTTCATGTCAAATATGCACACTCTTTAAGTGGTTTTCAATAACTTACCCCTGCATTTTATTCAGCAATAACCTAGGTCGATAATTAACCAGATAGATGTGTTTTATCCCTTGCATATAGAGCAGGTTTAATCTCTCAGCATACGTCCCTCCCCACATATCACATCTGTTTATATAAGCTCATTTATAATATACTGTTCAGTCTGTTGGATTATGTTACATTTCAAATGTATTGACCACAACAAGCACAGTATAAATGCATTATATATGCCAGTGCAATTCAGTAAATATGTTATACTAAATGCTATACCATTTTTGCAAAACTAATATTCTAAAACACTCGGTAATTCGAAGAGGTTAAATATGCTTTTCATTGCCTTTCAGACAATCAGTTTCAAAAGTCTTGGGACAGATGCCACAAAACCTTAGAATTTCAACAAACGACAATCCCCCCCGCCCCTGTTCAATGTTGTGTCCCATTTCTCGTCGGGTTTGATGTGTTTTGGTTTAACAATATATATAATTCATGAATAATTCATGAGCTATTTAGCCAATGAACTTCTTAAAATCTCGTCACATGATGACCCCTATATACCGTGATATAGATCGGTGTGTGCTGATTTAAAATTCATATATAGACCACATGTACCTTTATGATAAAGGTACATGTACCTTTATAAAGCATTCTTTAACAAAATGTTTATTAATCTGTTCCTAATAAAAACTCAAATATTCGAGAAATCAATAAATACTTTATCAGTTTCCAAAGTTAAAGGTAATGTTACAACTTTTAAACACGGGATTAACAACCATTTCGTTTTTTATTACACACCACTTTAAACTCTTTAAACCCAACAAACTTGCTTAACTAAAATGCTAAAGACGCTTCATTCATCTCCGCCAGCGATGTAGTTAATGTCTGGTTTGTGGCCTTGGGCCAATATCATCAGTTTCATGACCTCGGCATTGTCGATCTTCACTTCTTTAACCTTTCTAGCAGCTCTCCAGGAATCAAAATCGTCAAAGCCCACTTTGTCACGTATCTTGTACTTGGCGGCATCGCTCTTTCGAGCAACGTTTGCTCCTCTTCAGCAGTTCGAGCGCTTCGAAACCGACTCATTAACAAAACAAGTCAAATATGTTCAAATTTCCATTTGAAAACTCCGTTTGACGACTTGTATGACTTGATAATTAATCCAGTCATTAATTTGCTTGCTGATCAATGAAGGGAAGAATCGTAACACAATAGAACTATTGTAGTTAGCATTTCTTATTATTTCATTGGGACCCAAAACAAAAGGTGAATTTTAGAAGTCATTTATAAACCTCGTGATTGGGCTTTATCGGTGCCTAAAGCCGCTCGCCTTCGGCTCGCGTCTATATGCACCGATAAAGCCCTCTCACTCGGTTTATAAATAGTACATATATATATATATATATATATATATATATATATATATATATATATATATATATATATATATATATATATATATATATATATATATATATAAAATACCTTTTCAGTAGCCGTTTTCCAATCAATGAAATATCATGCAGAATGTTTTTACAACAGACTATATCAACATTCAATTGTCTTTGGATTGATATGGTTTAATGATATGTGCTGACGCAATTCAAAAACTAGAGTTCGTCCAATTTTCTATTCAAATGCTAAAGATAATTTCAATGTTGTCCTTTCAAACCAAGTATTGTAAATAAACTGTGGGAGATATTTAGCAATAAATATTTAGCGATAAATGAACATCGCATGCATTATGTAAAATATTTTAATTGACAACACTGCTTCGAGCGAGACGTATATACACTTCAAATCGTTTAGTGCTCGTTTTAATAATTAAAACTACCATGTCTTCCACAGTAACAAGCATCTTAAGTTCAACTGTAGGCTTGTTATGGAACAAAGCTCGCGACTCGACTGCGGCAAAACTGAAGGACGGCGATGTTGCGGATGCAAAAGTTCGGGAGATTGTCGTGAGAGAGTTGAACGACATCAAGACGAAACTTGATGGTCTTTCACGCAAAGATCTGCTCAGCAGCTCCCGATTCCTGAAAGAAGGAGTAGATTTACTCTACGTTTCTCTTGATAAATCAAAGCTGGAGCAGAAAGCTGTGATGGACCCAACTCAACAAGACCGTGGTGAAACATCAGGAATGTCGAGCGGAGTCGACTCTGGGATCTTGAGCGAAGCCTTAGAACTTTCGCACGCCATGGGAAAGATGAAAATCTACTCTGATAAAGAGTTTGAATCCGCTAAAGAGAGGTTTAAAGATGCCCGTAAGAGAGCAACCGACGCTTTCTGCAATGAGGCATTAAATATTAACGACAGAATCTTCGCGGCCAAACTACGTGTTGTTTCTGAGATACTGGAATGTCTCGATAGTCCTCAAACCGCCATCACAGGGTGTCTGTCGTTTCTTCAAGATCTACATAGCTTACCAGCTGTCTGTGAGATGTTCGACGTTTATCTTAATGGCGGTGTCAAGTCGTTGTTGGGTAAAGCAGAACGTGTCGAGAACGTAAAATCTGTGATACTTATCAACTATGTTTTGTTTAATCTTAAATCCAAATTCAGTCGCAGATTTACTGACAGGTTAACATGGCCTGGCATAATTGAACTTACTGATCGCACTTTTAACCCAATATTGGATTGGCAGGAGGTTTCGACAAGAAAGTCTATGGGTAATGAATTGGGTCAAGCTCCCAAGCGGCTAATACTTGATGACGCAATACGTCCACGTTTATCTGCTGTGGACAGTCATGGGAATGTGGTTGTTGGAGAATGCGGGAAATGTAACATCAATGTAATTCAGAGAACAGGAGAAACCAAAGTGGTTCATGAATTACCAGATTGTGGAGAAGGCAAAGTTATCGACCAAGGTATCGTAGGACTCGCTGTTGATAAGAATAACAATGTTTATGTTGTTAGATGGGTTAAAACGCATACGGAAAATTGCGACGTGGAATGTTACGTGTTGAATGTGTTGGATGAAAATTATAATGTAAAACACCGCTGCAGATTTGATTTCCTTCAGGTTACAATTACAATCCCATATGTTACAAGCCCATATTTTCATGTGGTGTGGATCACTATACACACAAACAATAATATGATCATGATCAAAAACGGTGATTCGAATGTCTATGTCTGCGATAACGTTGGACAATTGAAACACAAGTTTGAACCACATTCCGTTGGTATACCCTGGTTGGGTATTTCAAATAAAGATGAAATCATGATACCATCACATGATGGCACGGCCGTTCACTTCCACTCCGAGGAAGGAAATCTGAAATCGACAGTACAACTACCAGAAGGTCACCGGGTTCTTGGAGTGGCACTTCACCATGTCATTTGTAAAATAATTGTTTTAACCTTTGTCAGGGATAAAGATTCATATTTCCTTGTTTGTTACACTGAGACAGGCGAACTGGAGACCTCGACGTTGTTTAGCGAGGACGATGATATTAAATGGTCCCCATCAATCACATCTCATCCAAGTGGTCCTGTTGCTGTTGTACGAGAGAAAACCATCACCTTTATTTAAGGAGAGTACTTTACATTATGTGTAAATAAATTAAAATACGTTTATAATTTGACAATGTGGATAGATAATATTAGTTTGAATTAGAAGACGTTTTATGCAGTTTTCGGCCAAAAACGTCATTGACATTGACATTGTTCATCCCATAACTTTTCGATTTTTATGCACACTTTTTCAACTGTTCTTTGAGATTGTTTTTGTGCGCTAAAAATACCTTCAAGAATGGGTTTTTGAAAAAGATAAATGACTTTTACTGTAAAGCTTTCAAATGTATTTTGATTATATTTTCTTTTCTTTATATTTTTTCTCGAGATTATATTGTCTCGGAATTTGTCGACTTGCATCGTACTGATCCGGGTTTCCGACGGACTTCCGGAATGTTCCGAATTTTAGGGTTTTTTCTCCGCGTTACAAATATGGCGTAAAAATTGTGCAAGTTTATATTGATCAATCATACCTTTGTTTGAAGGTAATATGCTTTATTTAATATCAGTATTTGTAGTAGAATACTTAGATGGCTAATGTAGATGGAATTTTTAGGAAATCGGGGTCGAATTAAGTGCGAAATTTCGGCACAAAGTTTGTAGTTTGCACGTGCAGTCGTGCATCGGTTTGGTCGATTGTCGAAATAAAAACCGTGATCCGATTTTGTTAGCACTGACCAATTCAATAAAAAGACTAAGTAAGGTATAAAATTGTTGAAACCATCGAAAAAAGTCCGTTGTTTTTCAGGTTTTGCCAAGATCTTGAGGAGGCAATATATTTTACATCATTAAATTGTTTTAATAGACCATATTTGTCATTGACACAGAATAGGAAGTTATACCAGAAGCGTAACTCTAGTCGTTTCCCTTATTGTTTGACGTCCACGAAAATTTTAACTCGCTCACGTCAGGCCACGCCATC